AATAGTTTGGGGGTATGACCTGAGTTCCTCTCTACTGCTAAACTGTGGCTTGGGAAAGAGTCTTTCCCTGTCATCTGAAATGACAGTTGTGTCTACAACACACACTTGTTATTAGATGCAATGCCTGCTTCACAGTGATTTTTCCATACTTGTTATTATTATTATTTTGTTGTTGTTGTTATTGCTGTTGTTGTTGCCATGATCATTTGTAGGTTGTTGGGTATATGATTATAAAAACTGAGATAAACAAGAAAGGCACTAAACAGAAGCCAAGCACATTATTGTAAATTTCAAAATGTCTATGAGCAACTTCTAACTCTTTACAAAACTGTGAAGTTCCTTAATTTCACACACACACACAAGAAACTAGGATGTAAGTTTAATTTATAGTATTTTCTAAAGATCCGTTTCAAACTTTAAAGGTACAAAAGTTAACTGTGTTTATACAGAAAGAATTTTTGTTAAGTAAATATAATCTCTCAATACACTAACATAACTTTAACACATTAGCCAATTCTAAATAAAAATGGATAACTATCTCTAGAAACAAAGGTAATTAAACATTAAAAATATTAAATGTGGGTAAAATAAATATATACCACAAATCACCAAAACATACACAGGCAAGAAGGGGCAAATTACTGTAGTAGAATTTATAAGTTGTTCAAGAATCACTCTAGAACATTGGTCAGTTCATCTATCTTCTTGGGAGCTTTACAAATCTTTTGAGGATACATGATATAAATTATTGAAAATCTCCACACAATAGACCATTTTTTCTGACTTGTTTTAAGAGTGTAGTGTTGTTTTTAACAAAATCTCAAACCTTCAATTTTACTAATAAAGACTCAGGAGCCAGATGCTCGGGTGAAAGCTTGCTAGCTCAGAGAAACAGAGAAAGCACCAAGCTGACATTCCTTCTTAGCAGATGTTCCAAAAGTAAAAGGAAAGAAAAGGCAAAGGCAAAGAAAAAAGAAAAAGAAAAAAAAAAGGAAAAGGAAAAGGAAGTCTCCTTTTTCTCATGATGTCTCATAAAACCCTCAAACTGAATGCCCTTCCCTTCTACTTCTTCTGGTCTCTCTATTTATCCCTCTTATTTCCTCTTATACTCTGCGTTGTTGTTTTGTTTTTCTATGTTCACTCCTTCTCAACTGGCTGCTTGCTTTTTATCCTAAACTGTGGTTGACTTTATCTAATCCTGTTTACAAGCAGCAAGCTCTTGGATTAAAGGAGTGTGCTAGGGCTAAGCCATACCACAACTAGAAACAGGTTTTTCCAGTGAGTAACACAATCTCAGGGTTCACGACGTGATCAAACATCCTTCAAGAGGGTAGCATGTTTTCCCGAGCAGAAAACATGACAAATATAAGATAAATAGAATGTTGTAAGGACTAGAGAGACAACTTCGCAGGAAAAGCGCTTGCTGTGTAAGCGTGAAGACCTCATCAGGTTTCCAATACATACATAAAAACAAGGTGCGATGGTGCAACCCTGCATTGCAGTAATAGGGACACAGAGTTAGGGGCATCTCCAGCCATTGATAGGCAACCATTTTAACTGAAATGGTGAGTCCCAGGTTCCATAACAGAGATTTTTCTTTCAAAGAAAAGGTGGAGAGCAACATCAGCCTTTGGCCTTCTTGTAGATACATGTGCACACACGCGTGTACCACAAAGATAATAAACATTTCAAAAATAATGTTATAAATATCAGTGTTAATAAAGTTTCTAAAATTATGGGTGTTATAAAATCAAATGCAGTAGTATGTTAAAAAGTGCTGTAACTTAAGTGATTGCTAATAACTGATTTTGCCTCCACACAGTTTGTATACCAAGGATGCTTCCTTTACTGGTGCTTTCCATTTGCAAAAGTGATTATTTTTTTAAATTTATTTATTTTTTATTCACTTTACATCCTGTTTTAGCCCCACACCTCCTCCCCTCTCAGTCTCACCTTTCCTTCTCCCTTCCCCTTGCCTATTCTTTACAAAAGGGGAGCTCCCTTTCCTATCCAGCCAAGCTCATCAAGTTGCATCAGGACTGAGCATGTCCTCTTCCCCTGTGGCCTGGCAAGGCAGTCCTGCCAGGGCAAGTGATCAAAAAGCTGGCAAGTGAGTGAGTCTAATGCACTTCCCTTACTAGAAGATCCACAGGAAGCCTAAGCTGTCCATCTGCTACATCTCTGTAGAGGGCCTAGGTCCAGTTCATGCATGGTCCTTGGTTGATGCTTCCTTCTCAGCAAGCCCCTCTGGTTCCTGGTTAGTTAGCTCTGTTGGTCTTCTTGTGGAGCTCATGTCACCCCTGGGTCCTTTTCTCTTTCCTCCCACTTTTCCACAAGATGCCCTTTGTTCCTAATTTGAATGGAATTGCTTTGATTCTCTTTCTATTTAATGTGGGAACTAGCATTGTTCCAGCCAAGACCTCCTGTTTCTTACTTACTCCATCCTTATCCTGAGCTAATATGACAACAGAAATAAAATCTTTTAAATTTCTACCAAAAATAAAATAAAACAAAAATGAAAACCCATCACATAAGGAAACTATGAAAATAGGTAGCTTTGTATTCCACAAATGGAAAGGACTGAAAATTACATATTAGCTATTTCTGTTATGAAATAGGACCTGAGTCCTTTCTATCATTCTCCAGTTTAAGAGATCTTCCAGGCTTTACTGCTGAAATTCCTATCCCTGGGCCAAAGGCCCTTTTCCTTCTGGTTTTATAATCTGATTGTTATTTTTGTTTGTTTGTTTGATTGATTGATTGATTGATTGATTGGTATTTCCCCTTCAACCACCAGACAGCTAGCTTTTGCTTTTTAAAAAAAAAAAAATTTTTTTTTGTCTTATTTTCTCAGGATCCTTTTTAATTTTTTTTTTTACCTGAAGTATCTAATTTTTGCTTTTTAACATGCGTACTGGAAACTACCTAATTAAGAATAATGCATTTTAAACCTATGACAGCATATTTAGCAAAGTCAGAGAAAGAGTAATTTTTCAAATTGTTCTTTTACCCCTATTTAAAGCAAACAGCAAAAAAATGACAATTTGATTGTTAGATAATTTGTTTAATATTAATAATTTTCTTTCTATTAGTCCATGAGGTTGGCTCAGATTTAATATAGCATTAGACAATGTGTCTAAAAATCTGTAGATCCACTACATTTATAACTATGATTGTGAAATATCCACTTCCTTTGATAAACAGCAACATTTCCTTTTAATTAAATTTTTATTTTTATATTAATTAAAGTTTATTCACTTTCTATCCCAGTTGTAGCCCCCTCCCGCATTCCCTCCTAATCTCACCCTCCCTCGATCTTCTCCTCCCAAGTCTCTCTCCAAGTCCACTGATAGGGGAGGTCCTCCTCCCCTTCCATCTGACCCTAGCTTATCAGGCCTCATCAGGACTGGCTGCATTGTCCTTCTCTGTGGCCTGGCAAGGCTGCTCCCCCATCAGGGGAAGGTGGTCAAAGAGCCAGCCACTGAGTTCATGTCAGAGACAGTCTCTGTTCCCCTTATTAGGGTACCCACTTGGACACTGAACTGCCATTGCCTACATCTGAGCAGGGGTTCTAGGTTATCTCCATTAATGGTCCTTGGCTGGAGTATCAGTCTTCAGAAAAAAACCCTGTGTCCAGTTATTTTGGTTCTGTTTCTCTCCTTGTGGAGCTCTTGTCCTCTCCCGTTCTTACTATCTCCCCCTTCTTTCATAAGATTCACTGAACTCTGTCCAAAGTTTGTTTATGAGTCTCAGCATCTGCTTTGATACCCTGCTGGGTAGAGTCTTTCAGAGGCCCTCTGTAGTAGGCTCTTGTTCTGTTTCCTGCTTTCTCCTTCTTTCAATATCCATCCCGTTATGTTCATTTCTTTTATTTTCAGCAATGACCCAAACTGTAACCTCAAAGGGGAGAGGTTGAAAAATTAGGGTCTGTGTATGCTTTGCCACATTCCATAAAGGAACATAGAAACAAAGTCCTGCTAGCCCCCATTCTTTAAAAAAAAAAAATCCATCCTACAAGAAACACATGTTGCCACAGATTGTTGAATGTCAGCTTACACTTTGAGAAAGCAAATTAAATTCTGGATGAAAATTCCTTCTGAGGAAACATGCTGCTACTGCCACCTGGGGGAGGCTCTTCTCCGCTTCATTCAAGAGAACTAGAGTGCTCCAGAACTATAGATCCCATCTACTTCATTCATGCTCAGGAAGGATAGATCCCATTCACATCTTCCTTGTCAGATCCACACGGGAAGAGGAAGTTCCAGCTGTCTCCAGATTCCCTTCACAGAAGAACTACGCCATAGACTTCTTGGGAGCTATATCAAAGGACTAGAACATAGCTAGAATGAGGCTCCTACAGCTTACAGTTGACATGAACAGGTTTGGGGAAGCATGGGCTACAAACTAATCTGTGGAGGAAGTCAAACCTGAGTGTTTATTATGAAAAAAGCTAATTAAAAAAATTTAAGGACAACTTACAGTTAATCGTGCACCTTAAATATGCCATCATTAGTTGATTATGAAAATTGCATGCCCTCAGGCACTCAGGTGATTTTTAACACATTAAGGGGACACATTTAAAGTATATGAAAATAACCTAGAGAATTTTCTGAGAAAAATTTGAATTTATGAATTAAATACTGTTACACAGTTTGTAATTATTATGTGCACATATGTTTATTGGCATTTTTTATGAAGTAATGGTGCAGTATTTGTCAATTAAAATGGAAAATTTAACTGTCACTAAGAATGTTCCATACTTTTACTCTTGGTACCTTATAATTTATTAGAAACATTCTCAGTCAAAGAATCGAATTCTGGAAATGGAGCTTTCAGGAAGTATCTATTAAAATAATAGTCCTGTCAGATAACATAAGTAGGCTCTGATTAGAAGACAGCTAATCACTAATAAAGAGGATGTCTGGTAACAGTTTAACTAAGCGAAATAATGTGGTATCAGTCTCCTGCTAGTACCACACAGTCAGGAGACCAAAGTTCATTTCAAAGAATAAACTGTAGCAGTTCCAAGGAAGTCTGTGAAGAATACATTTCGAAGATCAAAAAAGGTAAGTGGTACACAGCTGGTTTTAAAATGTATTACATATGTGACTGGAACTAAATAGAAATGGATGGCCACTTAGTGCAGGTGACAAATGAATGAGCTACATGAGCTGGTGTCTACTTGGGAGGCCGCTGGAACCCATGACATTTCCTTCAACTGTGTGACTCCCTAAAGGTATTTGTAATAATACCTGGAAATACTGGGGTGAGGAATCTTAGAGAACAAGAGAAACCTGGGTTACTTAATACCATATAATCAAATTATAAACCACAATCAAAATAATCTCTATAACCTGTTAAATTGTCATTGGGGTCATCTGACTCTTTTGACAGTAGCTTTGTTTATCAATCAGTGAAAATGGTCAGTGAGTACAGAAAGAGATCTTTCTGTCTTTTGATATCTTCTTCAATTTCCTTCTTCATGAAGTTTTATCACGCAGGTCTTTCACTTGCTTGGTTAGAGTTACCCAAAGACATTCTATATTCTTTGTGGCTATTGTGAAGGGTGTTCTTTTCTTGATTTCTTTCTCAGCATGTTTGCCATTTGTATATAGGAGTCCTACTGGGTTTTGTGAGTTAATCTTGAATCCAGCCACTTCGATGAAAGTGTTTATGGCTGTAGGAGTTCCCGGCAGAATGTTTGGAGTCACTTATGTATACTATTATATCATCAGCAAATAGTGATACTTTGACTTCTACCTAATTTGTATCCCCTTGATCTCCTCTAGGTGTCTTACTCTCTAGCTAGAATTTCAAATACTATACTGAATAGAAATGAAGAGAGTAGACAGCCTTGTCTTGTTATTGATTTTAATGGAATTGCTTTCAGTTTCCCTCCATTTAATTTGGTGTTGGCTCTAGACTTGCTGTAAATTCCCTTTATTGTGTCTAGGTATTATGTCTTTTGTATCCCTAATCTCTCCAAGACTTTTAACATGAAGGGGTGTTGAAGTTTGACAAAGGCCTGTTTAGCATCTAATGAGATGACCACGTGGTTTTGTTTCTTTCAGTTTGTTTATATGGTGGATTAAATTGACAGATTTCTGTATATTAAACTATTCCTGCATCTCTGGGATGAACCCTATTTGAATACAGTGGGTGGTCTTTTTGATGTGTTTTTGGATTTGGTTTGTCAGTACTTTATTTATAATTTTTGCATCAATGTTCATGGTGGAAATTAATTGATAATTCTTTTTTGTTGAATCAGTGTGTGGTTTGGGTCAGGATGACTGTGACCGCATAAAATGAATTTGGTAATGTACCTCCTGTTTCTAGTTTATGGAATAATTTGAGGAGTATTGGTATTAGCTTTTCTTTGAAAGTTTAGTAGAATTCTGTGCTATAACCATCCAGCCCTTGGGCTTTTTTTGTTTGAGAAACTTTTAATGACTGACTATACTTTTTAGGGGTTATAGGTCTATTTAAATTGTTTATCTGATCTTGAGTTAACTTTGGTAAGTCATATCTATAGATTAAATTGTCCGGTTCTGTTAGATTTTCAAATTTTGTGGAGTACAAGATTTTGAACTATGACCTAATGATTCTTTGAATTTCCTTGGTGTCTGTTGTTATGCTCCTCTTTTCATTTCTGAGTCTGTTGATTTGAGTATATTCTCTCTTTCTTTTAGTTTGGATAAGAGTTTGTCTATTTTGTTGATTTTCTCAAAAGAAAAAAAAAGCCAAACAAACAATTCTTTGTTTCATTGATTCTTTGTATTGTTCTATTTGTTTCTATTTTATTCATCTCAGCCCTGAGTTTGATTATTTCCTGATGTCTACTCCTCTTGGGTGTGTTTGTTTCTTTTCGTTCAAGAGCTTTCAGGTGTGCTGTTAAGTTGTTAATATGACATCTCTCCAATTTCTTTATGAAGTCACATAGTGCTATGAACTTTTCTCTTAGCAGCACTTTCATTGTATCCCAAAGTTTGTGTATGTTGCGCATTCATTTTTATTAAATTCTAGGAAGTATAATCTCTTTCTTTATTTCTACCTTGACCCCATAGTTGTTCAGTAGGGAGTTGTTCAGTTTCTGTGAGTTTGTAGGCTTTTTGTTGTTTCTGTTGTTTTTGATATCCAGCTGATAGGATACAAGGTGTTATTTCAATCTTATTGTATCTGTTGAGACTTGCTTTGAGACTGAGTATGTAGTCAATTTTTGAGAATGTTTTCTGAGTTACTGAGAAGAAGGTATATTCTTCTGTGTTGGGTGAAATGTTATGTAGGTATCTACTAAGTCCATTTGATCATGACTGTTAGCTTCATTATTTCTGTTTAATTTTTGTCTGGATAACCTGTCCATTAGTGGAAGTTGGATATGAAGTCTCTCACTACTAATGTGTGAAGGTAGATGTATGATTTAAGCTTCAGTAATGTTTCTTTTACAAGTGTGGCTGCCCTTTTGGTTGGTGCATAAATGTTAAGAATTGAAATATCATCTTGGTGGATTTTTCCTTTGATGAGTATGAAATATCCTTCCCCATCTCTTTTGACTAATTTTGGTTTGAAGTCTATTTTGTTACATATTAGAATAGCTATACCAGCTTGCTTCTTGGGTATATACTCATGGTTCAGTAGGATTAACATAGTAAAAATGTCCGTCTTACCAAAAGCAATCAACAGATTCAAAACACTCTACGTCAAAATTTCCACACAATTACTTATAGACACTGGAAGTACAATATTCAACTTCATATGGAAAAACAAACAAACAAAAAAGTCAGGATAGCTAAAACAATCCTATACAATAAAAGAATTTCCGAAGGTATCATCATCCCTGATTGCAAGATGTACTACAGAGCTTTAGTAATAAAAATCACATAGTATTGGCATAAAAACAGACATGTTGATCAATGGAATCAAATCAAAGACCTAGATGTAAATATATACACCTATGGATACCTCGTTTTTGATAAAGAAATATATGATGAGGGAAAAAAAGCATTTTCAACAAATGGTGCTGGCCTAACTGGATGTTGATATGTAGGTGAATGTAAATAGATCTGTATCTATTAGCCTGCACAAAACTCAAGTCCAAGTGATCAAAGATCTCAACATAAAACCAAATACACTGAACCTGATAGAAGAGAAAATGGGGACTAGTCTTGAATGTAATCGCACAGGAGTCAACTTTTTGCACAGAATACCAATAGCATGGACACTAAGATCAACAATAAATGAAACTTCATGAAACTGAAAAGCTTCTGTAAAGCAAAGGACACTGTCAATAGGACAACATGACAGCCCAGAGAATGGAAAAAGATCTTCACCAACTCCACATCTGGCATAGGGCTAATATCCAAAGTACATAAAGATCTCAAGAAACTAGACATCAACAAATTAAATAATCCAATTAAAAATGGGTACATATCTAAGGAGAGAATTCTCAACAGAGGAATCTCAAATGGCCAAGAAGCACTTTAAAATGTTCAATATGCTTAGCCATAAGGAAAATGAAAATCAAAACAACTTTGAAATTTAATCATACACCTCTCACAATGGCTAAGATCAAAATCACAAATGACAGATCATGCTATAGAGTAATTTTAATCCAGCAACATGGTTGCTCTGGCAAGGATAAGGTCTTTCAGGTCTTTGTGATCTGGCTGGAATGACATACCTTTAATCTCTCTTGCTGGAATACAGACACACCATTAGGATACACATTTAATCTTAAACAATGAAGGTAAATTTGGTTTGTAGAAGGAAATACCCATGTTTGAAAATGACATCTAATTGAGGGGCAGACAAATGACAAATCAGAGAATGATCACACAAAATGAGTCAGAGACATGATATGCCCAACTCTTTTGAGAAGAGACAGGAAAGAGAAGCCACTTGAGAGCAGTACAGTAGAGTAAGGTATAGTAGAGAAGGAGGAGAGAAGACTATACAATAGAGTTCAGTACAGAAGACAGTAGAGTAGAGAAAAGAGTAGAACTGAGTACTGTACAGTTCAGTAGAGAAGACAGTACAGTTGAGTTCAGTACAAAATAATACATTACAGGTAGTTCAATAAGTTCAGTGTCATGGACTTGAGTTGAGTAGTCAGTTGGGAGTCAGCACAATGAAGTTCAGTTTGGTACAGTTCAGTTCTTGGAATTCAGGAGCAGTTTTCCAAGTAGGATGCGCCAGTGAGAATCTGAGAGAAGCGAAGTTGGATCAGTCAGCTTGGAGAGAGTTTGGGCCAGAACAGCCAAGTTCATAAAAAGCTAGAAAGGGTAAGCTTATTCAGCATAAGTCTCCAAGACAACAATTACATCAGGTGGACAATGATTCTCCAAACAAGGACCATGCATGGATATAACCTAGAACTCTGCTCGGACATAGCCCATGGCAGCTCAGTATCCAAGTGGTCAGTGGTCACACAACAGGTCACAGCATTAGGAAGGTTGACAACCACTGATTTAGAGTATTATAAGTGGTGCTGTAGTAGGTTATATAAACACTACACCATTTTATATTAGTAACTTGAGTGTCAGCGGATTTTGGTAAATGCTGGAGCAATAAGGCATCTCCCCACAGACACAGAGGGACGACTGTACACAGAGCATCTCAGGTCATGTCTGAGACTTTATGTTGGGTAAGTATAGATACCTAACTCTCCTTTTGGTGCCTCTGTTTACCCACAGCTATGACAGACACCAACAAGATGACCATCAATTTGGTTGTCTTTGGCAGTACCCAGAGTGGGAAAAGTTCTGCTGGGAACGTTCTTTTGGGAAGTGCTGACTTCTACAGCACCTTCGCTCCAGGCTCCATAACCAAAGACTGTAGTCTGGGCCGCAGTTGTCATCTCCGCAGCTTCATGCGTCGAGGGGGACAAGAGATAAGCCTGCAGATACAGGTATTGGACACTCCAGGATATCCACACAGCAAGCTGAGCACAAGACATGTAAAACAGGAACTGAAGAAAGCCCTGGTGCATCACTTTGGGCAAGATGGTCTCCATCTTGCTCTGTTGGTCCAGAGAGCTGATGTGCCTTTCTTTGGACAGGAAGCATCTAACTCAGTCCAGTTGGTCCAGGTAATACAAAGATACAATTATACCATCAACATTATTGCTACCTAGGGGCATTATCCTCACAGGCAAGGCCTAGGGAGAAACTGGCTCAACAGATACTTGAACTACAAAGGGTTAGCCATATAGCAAGAGTCAGTAAAAGTGATTTGATTTTCTGCCAGGAGTTCTATTTTGTAGTTTATTTTTACAGCAGTGGTTTTCAACCTTTCTAGTGTTGTGACCCTTTAATACAGCACCTCACATTGTGGTGAACTCCAACCATAAAAAATATTTTGATTGCTACTTCATAGCTGTAATTCTGCTACTGTTATGAATCTTACTGTAAATATGATATGCAAGATATCTGACATGTGACCTTAAGGAGGTTGCAACTCACTGTTGGAGAACTACTGTTTTAGAGAATTCCGTCAGTTATCCTACAAATAGGCCATAGGCAGGTATCTCTAGACACTAATTTGCAGAAGTCAAACCTTAAATCCTTAAGAATGTTGAATTTGGGAAAGTTCATACAATGTAACCCTTGGGCTATCTGTACCAGAATCAGCTGGAAAACTTGTTGAAAATGCAAACTTACCCATGACTATTGACGCAGCATCTCAAGAGTGACACCTGTGGGTCTGCATTTCCATGTTTTTATACAGGTTTATTAAAACCTTAAAACAAGGTGAGGTTCAAAGCTGCCAGCTGAAATACCCACACACTATGCAACACCAAGAGGACTTGTTAGGATTCATCAACAATGTGTGTTTATCCACTGATGATTATCCATGTAGCACTGAGTACTTTCAGAGACAGAAAACCTGACTGCAAAAAGCTCGTAGTCTAGAAAAGGCAAATAAATGTCAGAGATGACAATGCGTTAGTTGCCAAAGTAACGTGATGTGTAAGACGAGCAGCACAAAAATCATCGTTGTGGCAAATGTTGCGGGAAAGCTGTGCATGATTCACAGGAAAGAAATCTGCAGTTTTCCACGTTTACCTGCCTTGACACCCATATAAAGGTCTCCATTTCAGCCATGAACTACAATGACTGTAGGCAGACCCTAGATGGCATGTATTGCATTTGCCTATACCGGTTTGTTTATTTATTTGTTTAACATCGGTTGCTAAGTTGAGAGTCCCTTTCATTTGACAGTCTAGCAAAGGATCTAAGTAAGAGGAGGGGTCTTGGTATGGCCACGTCAAAAGGAATAAAGAGTGTGCATATTTATACTGCCAGATATTATGTAGGTAAGGGGCCCATGGAGACTATTACTTACAGATCCTGAAAATGATTCATTGACCTGCTCCATTCTGGCCAAGCTTTGATTCTCTAGGCAACGTTCACCCACGTTTGACTGCTGGGTCTTATGAGTAGACGCTGCCCTAGTCCCTGAGTTCAGATGAAAGACTTTTTCCCTTTAACTAGTAAAAACAGAAGATTGACCTAAATGGCAGACACACCTTTTGCTTCTCAGAAGTTATGTATGTTTGTAAGGGTTTAGGGAAAAACCCATGTGTGTAATTATAAGAAAGTAGTGGAAAAATTAGGGTGACAAGAGAAAAAAAAAATCATCGTCCAACTCCTAAAGATTTAAGTAATGTTGTCAACAGTAAACAAGACAGTTGTAATTAATATGAAATCTAAAGCAACCAGACAGATCCCCACATTATTAAAACCTGAATTTCACAGCATTTCTGGTAGAAATCAAGTGTCGGGAAACCTTCACCCAAATATCAGGATAATTTTAAGAACAGATTTAATGTTCACTAAGGCTGCTTTACATAAATTCAGTAAATTCACAAACAACTACTTCCCAAAAGCCATCTTGACTCTCTCTTTGGTGTCGTCATGCTTCCCTGTAGTACACTGTGCTGATCCCAAGGGGATTTCAATATTATACATTTTGAAAATACATTCTTCTGCTGTTAGTATTCAAAACATTGTAATCCACAGTTTTCCTACAAAGTAATTCACACTTGTCTCTTATCTTTTGAAATGGCATCTACAGCGCTTTCTCCGACAGCTGCCTTTCTTAAGCCACTGTCTATCTCAGGAGTTGAAAACCAGTATGAGATGGGTGAGAGCAATGTTCCTGTTTTGTTTTAATAGTATAAACAATTTTTCTTTTTTTTCTGAATAACAGCAGACAGGGCTTATTGATCCTTTGAGCACTCCCATGAATGTTGGAAGTCACTGCAGAACTGTTTGGGGCACCTCTTGGTCTTCCAATTACAATCCCATAGGTACAGGCTTGATGCTTATGACCTTCTTCAGGTACCCCAGATACTCCTGGCAGCCAGCTGTATGCATTCCTAGATCAGGAGCAGCTGCCAGATGTCTTGATATTTGACTGGCCCAAGAGCAGACGTCAAAGTAGGTGTTAAGGTCCAAAGTTTCCAGGGATATCCTAATTTTTTTTTTTTTTCCTCTCGGCTGATAGACAAGAAGAATGCAGTAACTGTCCTTTCCAAATAAGGGAGGCATGGAAGGACTGGCCTTGTCTTCCTGTGTTTTTCTGTACATTCTGGAAAGGGGTCATAGTCTACCAGCTGTGACAATTAACACATTTCTCCAAATGACATTCTTCTTTATGTATGTTAGGTCCATAATAATTCAGAGATGTTAGTGAGTTGTATCCTCCAAAATGGAAAAAGGAAGAAATGACTCCTGTGAGTGTTAATGGGAATATTATTTGAATGTTGAAAAGCAAATCCATAAAGATATCAGAGAAAGCATAAAACAATCTCCTACAATGAAGAGCCAGCCCGGTGAAGACAAAGTTGCTCTAGGAACTGAATCTGTGAACTGAGTATAGTATATATTCTTTTTGTACAACCACAGGCAGTGTAATTACTGTGAACATGCCAGTTTAAGAATGTATTTTGTGTGTGTGTGTGTGTTAGAATCAACAACTCAGCTGCTGATGTTGCAGGTGGGTGCTCACAGTAGGCTCATGAAGGCCAGTGATGGGCCTTGGTGCTAGACAGACCCCACAGGCCTATTTAGCAGTTGGGACTTACTCAAAGGCAAGCCTAGCCATCCTCAGTTTTAGATTCGTGGTCACAAGTGATGCTGATTTTATTGATATTTATAAACTTCTATGGACTCTGTACTGCTCTTAAGTAGCATTTCTCTAGTGAGAGGTTAGCATATCCTATCTCTGACACATTCTGTCAAATCTTTCTCTGATTAGTCACTTTGTCTGTTCCTCAATTAGACAACATTGTTTGGGATGAAAGCTGTGTACTAAATTCCAGCCAGAGGGATTACAGGTGTGTCATGTCTGTATGTCAGCCCAATGAATTAAGGTTGTGTATTCCAATCAGAAGGATTAAAGATATATGCTAAGTATGTGTATTCCAGCCAGATCATATTCAAAGACCTTACCAGAGCAGCCATGTTGCTGGATTAAAATTCTTGTACAAATAAAAATAACAAATGACGATGTGGATACCTTAGGAATATATGGCACTTAACAGAGAATGATCAATGAGCTTTTGACCCACAAATTCTTTCAGGTATTTCAGTCAGGTTAGTAAATGTGACATGCTTAACTCCGAGCTCAACTTACAGGAAAGCCACTGAAGATGGCAAAGTGGCCCTGGTATAACTGCTGCTCTTCTGCACTGAGATGGGCACTCGTTCAAACAAACCACACAGGGGTGGCTTATTACAGAGCTGAAGAACATGGCTTCTGGGTATGTTATACATACCCGTGTTCAGGCTCCCTCTTAGCTACTCGTTTGCATCATGACCTTGGGCAAGGAGCCTCTCTGAACCTCGTTAGAAACCAGTCAGTGATGAAAGTATCTACTTAACTGGTTCCTTTTTGGATTGCACACAAGCCTGGCAGCAGTAAATCCTTTAATTGAGACACTGGCGCATGATTAAGTGCACCATAAGGGTTTAGCGGTGGGAATTTTCATTTTATATTACTATTAGTCAAGGCTCTAACAGTCCCAGTGCATTTCATAAAGGCCCAGGTCTGCCAATAATCAGCCATGTGACTGCCATCGAGGCACTTAACATCATAAGGCCTTAATACTCTCATCTTTAAAATGAGAACATTTGGATAGATGCTTTCTAATGTTGAATATTTCCTAAATCTGAGCTGAGATGTTATCATTCAGTTTTGACTCTCTAGGAAGGAAAATGTGGTACTTTGAAGTGGGATGAGAGTAAGAGACTAGAACACACAGACACACACATACACACATGTGCGGGCTCACACACACGTATGATCCTTATTATTCTCCTGTTCCATGATAATTTTTTCTTGGCTGATGCAATTGTTGGCTTTTTTTTCTAAAGTTTCCCCCTAAAAGGTCCAGATGCTATGATTTCATCAACCACAAACAAATGGGGCAGGGCTGGTGAGGTCCTGAGAAAATGAACAATTCCTGGAAAACAAGGTTTATATCCCAACTCGCTGTCCCAAAAGGAGGAGATGGCCTCATACCCATTAGCTCTGTGAAACTGAGCAATCCATGGCTGTAGCATTTCCACTCAGCTTATACTATATTTAAACTACTAGCACCAGATAAATAACTTTTACTTATTTTGCTCTAGAATATCTTTTGACACATCAGTCAACTGTGGTTGTTCAGTCTCTGAGTCCCCAGAGAACATGTCTGGACACTGACATGATGACTATAACCAAGTGACACTATTTTCAAACATACAACTATTATCTGGCTAAAGACCAGTCTAAGGATTATAGAGTAAACAAGCCATTCTTCTCTGGCTTTGGGCAGTAGTTCAAAAGTGCAATTTCTCTAAAAGCTTAAGAGATAAGTATCCTTTCGTAAAAAAAAAAAAAAAAAAAATTATCAGTCTGTAAAGATTTCCCAGTGGCTGAACACATGGGCTTGTGAGTGGCATGGTGGTTAATGCTTCCACTTAGTCATCCTGAAAGAGTTAACTTTGAAGCATAAAACCACCCGAAAAGGGAGAAAAGAAGAAAGCATGTTGTTACAGGAATTAAGAGAGTTACACTACTTAATTTTTAAAGTATCAACTTAGTAAGAAAGAAAGTTCTACTAAGGGATATTATACAAAACAGTATTTTTATTTTGACGATTACTCAGAAATATTTAATGGCAAGTATGGTGTAGATACCAACCAAAGCTATCAGAATGGTGGGTTTGGTGGAGCTCAAGGGCTGAGATTATCAGTTATTTACTAACTTGTACATAAATATTTTAGTATGACAATCAGGATAGCACAGGAATGGTACACTGAGGCTCTAAATGTGAGAAACATTCATATATGAGTGTGATCAAAGATCAAGAGCTGGACATGAGTGGAAATAAAACCCCAGTATCATGCAATCCCTATTCTTAAGTAAACTCTTTTAAAAATTTTATTATTCTCTATCTTCACTGTGGGGAGGGGGGCACGTGTGTGTGTGTGTGTGTGTGTCCATCTGCAGCATGAGGGCAGCTGGGATTGGCTTTCTTGTGGATCTAAGGATTTAATTCAGGTTATCGTGTTACTGGGATTTTGGGAACCTCTTCATGGTTGCCTGATGATATACGGAAAATCTAGGTCCTTTCTTAGGGTTCTTAGTCTCAAAAATAGTTTAAGACTGGATTCAAATAAAGTCTCAAGGACAATTTTTATTAGAGTTAAAAAAATAGTAAAAGGAGGTAAGCTGCAAATCTCAACTAATGCTTGGAAGAGCCCAATGGAGGATGAAAGGAAAAAGCTGCACCCTTTAGCAGTGTGGAATTCAGACAGGGTGGAAAAGCAGCCACCTGGTGGGGAGGGGTGCTTTAAAGAAAGAGTAAGACAGCAAAAAATGCTGGGGAAACCTCAAATGAGTTAAAGAAAGCATATCTTCAAAAGAGACAGATTCTGGAGGTTCTGAAAGGAAAGGCACAGTATCTCATTAAAGGGAAAATTATTTCATCCTTTTCTTTAGCATGGCTTAGGCAAGTCCATCTTCCTAGGGGTGGGCCCTTTGCCTGGGGTAGCTGGGACATCAGGTCCTGTTCTCTTGATGAGAACAATGTTTCTACTAAAGAGACTTTACTTTTACTCAGATATGCAGGCTCAAACTCTAAGCACTTTTATCCCCTGGGCCATCTTGCAGGCCCATGTTAATTCCTTTGGAGCAAATAATAGATATTTATTGTCTCTTGGTTCTTGAGGTCAGAAGTCTGAAATCACAGAATTGGCAAGGTTGGTTTCTTCTGAGAGCTGTGAGCAAATGATGTGTCCCAGGCCCTCTCCTGAACTGTGCATGACTATTTTTAGGGTCCACAACCTTCTCCTTATATTTGTGTCTCTGTTCAATTTTTTTTCTGTTTTATATGGACATTAATAATTTTGGATCAGGGGCTAACCTAATGACTTTAAGTTAATCACATCTTTATGACACTCTTTCCAAATAAGGTCACATTCTGAGGAGCTGGGGATTAGTACTTGGCATATGAATTACGAGAAGGATACAGTTCAACCATAATTTCACTGTTTATTCACATTGCTGCCTGTTTCTTCTCTCTTCCAGGGATATGTACAATACTCTGCAAGCACAACTGAGTCCTATAAATGTTCTTTATTTTCTCATGACAGCATAATCTACAGTGGGTTGTTGGCATTGTATGGATGCCTAGATTTATTAAGAGTTGTGATCTTTAACAGTTAAGGAAACACAAGTTTTCAAATGAATTTGGATTCAAAAGCACAAGAGAATGTGACAAACAGAGCACCATTTTGAACAGTCTTCATGTATTTACTGCTAAGATAATGTTGTCTGGCATACTGATCTTGAAAGGTCGGCTAATGTTTTCTTGTAACAGGATGTTTTAGGGGAACCTGTAATTCTGTGGTGTAGGTAGACAAATTCTTACTAGGTGAGAGCAAACAGGTGGACTCACCCCTAGAGAGATTTGCTTTGAGTGCAGAGTGAAAGCACAGATTGTAGAAAATGCACATCAGTGAGCTTCAGAACTCAGAAGTGCAGGATTGTATCCCAGAGGATAAAATTCAAAAAACTGAACTCTCAAAACAAAACTAAGCCTGCTCTTTGATCCTCATGAAGATCATACTTCCAAACTATTCAACAGATATTGTTGGAAATTCATAATGTCCTGGAGCCTTTGCATGATGATGCAGACACAGAGCGTGAACCTTCAAAGAAGTCACCACTTAGTTTCAATCACATATGTCTAAATAGATGGCTTTGAGGAGAGCCTTGGGAGACCGACTGCTCTCAGATGTTGTAATTAGTATTCCTGGCCACTAATAGGTGATTTAAAAATCTTTGTCTCAGACTTTTCCTAAGCATTTTAGTATTAGACACACTTGCCCCGATTCATTTCTTTCTTTCCTCCTTTTCCTCCTTCCCTCCCACCCTCTCCTTCTCTTTACACCCCAAATACCAGCCACATGTCCACTATAGACATCGAGAAATCGCTTCCCAGGCTGTTTCAATAAAAACAATGCTAAGATCTAGTTCCGCCTCTCCATGTGTCACTTCTCGATACCACAACGGGAACGGTACTATTGCTGTTCGTGCTGAGCACCAAAAAGCGACACACGGCCAAGCATGGTGGTGCCCGCCTCTAACCCAGCATTGGCATGGCAAAAGCAGGGCTGATATATTTGCAGTCAGCTTGGGGAACAGAGTAAAAATCTGTCTCAAAGGGGCTTAAGCCAAACCAAACTGAACTGAAATGAGAGAGGAAGGGATGGGAGGGTAACAAGAGATGAAAAAAAGACTTAAAAGATTAGCATGATATCTGACACTAATTCTTCATTTCTGCTTGTATGTTTGCTTTCTTCTGATTACTAGAACACCTTGATATCTCTTGTTATATTCATTCACAGACATTTTGCATTTTAAAAAGGTGTTATAAACAAGGAGGACCCTAGGGAAGATGATGCTTAATCCTCATCCAGAAGGGCAAACAGGATAGACATTGGAAGCAGGTGAAGACAGAGAACAGGTCAGGAGCCTTCCACAGAGGACCTCTGAACGACTCTACCCATCAGGGTATCAAAGCAGATGCTGAGGCTGATAGCCAAAACTGGGCAGAGTGCAGGGAATCTTATGCAAGAAGTGGGAGATGGAAAGACCTGGAGGAGACAGGTGCTCCACAAGGAGACCAACAGAGCCAAAAAATCTGGGCACAGGGGGACCTGAAGAGACTGATGAATCAACCAAGGACCATGCATGGAGAGAACAAGATCTCTTGCTCAGGTGTAGTCTGAGCAGCTCAGTCTCCATGGGTGTTCCCTAGTAAGTGTTGCAGGGTCTGTCTCTGGCATGAACTTGCTTGCCTGCTCTTTGATCACCTGGTGAAGTGAAAGAGGATACAGACATGATGAGACCTGATAGACTAAGGTCAGATAGTAGGGAAAAAGGACCTCCCCTGTCAGCGTACTAGGAGAGGGACATGAGGTGAGGAGGAGAGTGAGGGAGGGTGAGACCGGGAGGAGATGAGGGAAGGGTCTACAGCCTGGATACAAAGTGAGCAAATTGTAACAAATAATAATAAAGAAAAATTTCTAAAATAAAAAAGTACAAAAAGTGTTCTAAACTGGTAACACCCTTGCAAATATTTCAGTCACAGGAGCATACAGTTGGGAGAAAATGTTACCGTATTGCTACTTGGTTATGATTTCATCTAAGTTTGGAAATATTCAAGAGTTAAATAGTTACTCCTAGATGCCTTTAGCATTGCATGGGCAATATACCACATGCTGTGGCTTCTGCTTTATATCAGCTAATTTTCACTAATCAAGCAAGAATTTATTGCACAACCAATGTGCACATTATCACTAAACAAAGGGGCAACTGTCTTCAGTGTTTTTCTAGCACATTAGAAGAAGCCATTTGATAAATTGCCTTTGATTCCAGTCATGTGGCAAGAGGAACATGAGGATTACAGTAATCTTGTGTAGCTGTTCCAACTCACCAAATGGATTTTGATCTTAGCTTTTCTGTTACTTGTCATCTGTTTAATCAATAGAGCATAACCAGATTATGTCATTGTAATCCCTTAGTAGATATTTTAGCGGTGATAACATCTAAAAAAGAAAACAATTGGCTTGCTCAAGGTACCACAAATTAAAGGAACTGAGGGTCTGGTTGTGGAGTGAGTATAAGTGATCACTGAGTGCTGGCCATATCACCTTCAATGTAGCCAGATGCTCTGCAGCATTAAGTTTTTGCATATCAATTACAACAACAAAGTAAAACAGACTAAGGTCCCTCTTTTGTTCAGAAACCCCATCCATCTTCCTCAACGTGCTAACAGCACTTGAGCTCAGAGCCCCTTCCCATTACACATATCAGCTTTCAGGACTATCATGACACATGGATCTGTTCACTAATGGCATTAGACTTTAATAATGGCTTTGCTCATTTTTGAGGACCAGAGTCCAAGGCAAATAGTCATTTAACTTCTTTCTCTTTCAGGAACTTCTGGGAGATTCTTGGAAGAATTACACTGCTGTTCTTTTTACCCATGCTGAAGAAATAGAAGAGGCTGGGCTCAGTGAAGAGGAATATTTGCATGGGGTCTCTGACACACTGTTAACACTGCTAAATTCTGTTCAGCAGAGATATGTTTTCCTGTATGGAAAAGGAAACCAATGTAACAAACAAAGAATTAAAATCCTAGAAAGAATCATGGAATTTATAAAAGAAAATCACTATCAAGCTATTAGTTTTTCATAAAATGTAAGTGAAAAAAGGAGTATTAATTAAGCCCGAAATCTAATTTTAAAATCATTGTTCACTTGAATATGGGGGATGAGAATTCCCTGTACTGCCATATAGCCATTTTGAAAATTTTAAATAAAAACTAATATGAAGGGTTCAAGATTTCATAATTTCAGAATTTTATTCATAAGTGTTTATCCAACAAAAAGTGTACATTTGTGCATTAAGAAACATGAATATACAAGAATGTTCAAGGCGGTGCCATTCATAATAGTTAAAACCTGAAAACTATCCAAATGTTCATTAATAGAGTGATATGCAAATTGTGGCATATAGCACATTGAGATAAACAGTAATGAGAATGAACAAACTCAATTACCCATAAGTCATAATCAACTGATGAATCACAATACCAAGAGAAAGAAGCCAGACATGAGTGTGCCTTAAGACTCCACTTGTATAAAGGTTAGAAACAGTCAAAACTAAGGCACCCCAACTGATGTAGGAGTGATGGGGATCAGGAGAGCAAAAGGATGCTGTGGGGTAGCTCCAGAGAGATGTGGAAGGGGTCTTCATAGGACGTGCACTTTGTAGTGTGCAAGAAAATAAATCTTCTTGTAATTTGTGATCCCCGAATTACATTTGAATACAATTTTAAATGAAAAGACTTCCCTCAAGTCCTTTTAAGGAATTTACCTCACTGCTTACTTGATGAAAGAGATGGAAGATCATGTAACTGCCGTAGTTACTTCCACGATTAAATGAACTGGCATGTGACACTCAGTTAGCATTCCTTTCTGCTTTAGGGAGATCCACTGACCCCATTTAGGTTTATAATTATTAAGGGAAACTCAGAAAAAAAAAAGCCATTCAGCTAATCACTATAACACTCATCAGCACTGACTACGGAAGTGGGGCCGCTTGAGTCGTTAGTTTGTGTCGATGTAGGTACCGGGATGATTTGGCCACTTGAAACAGTTCTTCAGCGTGGTTTTAACGGAACGGTGATAGTGAAAACAAAGCAATGCTAGTTGTCCAGAACCATGTCTATAACCAAGGCAGAATACTGTCCCCTTCACACGTGGTCATGTATAAATCTAATTCATATAGTTTCCATAAAGTTAACTCATGATGTTTTTTTCTTACTGTGATACCCTGTAGTAATTTCCCATTAGAAACAGAATTGTAACTGATGGATTTTCTCCAAAAGCAGTTCTCAAAAGGCTGCTTTCATGTTCACTATTATCTGAACTCAGATGATATTTATTAAATAAGTTATCAACTTCCTACTTGTTAGATAGACAGCTAAAGACAGACAGTGCCTGAGACTATCTCAGTTCTCTGCCATTATTTTATTTTATTGCTGTCAACACCAGAATGACATAATCATAATAGATGCTTAATTGATAACTAACATTTGTGCATCTTTATATTGTATTGTGGTAATTCAATGCATGTGATATAGTGTGTAATGATCGACTCAGGACAATAAGCATTTGCTTTCTTAAGTACATTTTACATGTACTTCTCTAGTTAATTTTAAAGACATCATACATGAGCTAGGAATATAATCTAGTAGTGTAGTGTTTGCCTGACTTGCACAGGGCTCTAGGTCCAGTCCTATCAAGGCAAAACCAAAACAACAAAAATGAAATGAGGTTTGTGGGGAGAGGGGATTGATGGGTTGTGGAGAGGTGTGGGGTTGAAGTGGTGGTCTTGCATTCCAGGTATGTGTGGTACAGAGCAGCTTTAATAAAGACCAAAAAAGAAATGTGTCATAATTTACAACTTACATTATACTGTGCTAGATGAGAAGCACCAGGAATTTATCCACCTCTGTGATGTGCTATGCCCCTTGATACTTAGAAGCTCAAGGATTATTTTTTAGGATTTCCTGACATTATCAGATTGATTTTTCTAACACTTCCCTAAAGTTATTTTGTAGACTGGGTATGTTAATGTCAAACAATACAGTTACTGAATCATCTCCTTTGTTAAACCACATGAGGATGTTTCTCCTCATTTTGCCTTTATTGCTTGTTTTATGCTCCTGTTATTTCTTACATTCCCCTGTTTCTTCTAATTTTCTTAATTTGAAAATGTACTATTTATCCTATTTTTGTCCTTAATGTTTTGAAAATTCTACTGGAATTCATGTGCATGATGGGAATCAGGTACATGTTTTCTACTAATATTTGATAACAAGGTAACAACAATTTGCTTAACCACGATATCATCCCTTCAAGTGAGGAACTAAGATGTGCAGACTGCCTTCATCTCTCCCTTATCCTTTTCTCTTTCTACCATCCTCCCACAGAAGACATCTTAAGAATGTTTCTTACCCCATATAACTGGATTCTGAGAGACAATTAACTGAAAACTTCCTTTTGTGAACTGTTCCTTTTGTTTTAAGAGCCATTTTATAGCACTTAAACTGAACACCCCTCATAGTTTATCAATTATGTTTAATTATTTACTAGCATGCACAATATTTCATTATGCATTTTCAAATAAAACTTGTTTTGGTTGACTTGATGCCTCTCTTTTCCCCTCCACTCTTGACTCCTCAGTACTAGAAATGCTAAGCTTTACCATGATTTCCCCTTTTCTTCATCCTCCTCAATATCTCTAGTGTCTCTCCTAATATATCCTGCAGCCTTGTATACACCAATGTTAAATTCCAAGCATACCCTTGTGTGTACTACTATGTAACAGCAATACTGGGTCTTAATAACCAGCATAATGAATGGAGAAAAATATGTCCACTGGGAGTGGAGTAGTGGACTCTTACGAGTCACTGAATTCTTGCTGCTCTGCAACTCTTTCTGGATGGTTACATGTATTTATCCACAAACTTTAAAAACTATCTCTAGAAACTCAATTTCTAGAGATAATTTCAGCTCCCAGAGACCCACATGGTCAGGATTAGCTCTGGGCAAAATAAACAGTATCCTGATGGCTGTCTTTTGGTGTCCTGCTGCCTTTTCTATTAGAGTTTGTTATTTGCAGTCTTTCCTCATCTTCTTTAGATATCTAATCTACATGCTAACCTCATCTGGATGACAACAGAATTCTGCTGCATCTTAGGGTGGAAAGTCCTTTGAACATTTTGAGCTCATAGGACAGTGCCCTTGGTGTCACTGAGCTCATAGGACAGTGACTTGGTGCTACTGAGAAGCTGGGGTCAGGGACAGATTAGCACATACCTGTTGGGGGGCCTTAGTGATTACCCCCCAAGACCTACCAGCTTTAAAACTTACTGGATTAACTTTTCTAGATATAAAACCCCAATGAACAATTTCTGACTTAACTTCTGCTTTTAACCTTTTTTTTTTCTTTTTAAGTTATTGTGAATGCAAAAACCCCACAACCCCTACTTTAAAGTGCATCCCTGACAGATATTCTATTACGGAGCTTAACAAGAATAGCCATGGCTCAGGAACAGATTTAAAACCCAAATGCCACGTTCCAAGGGGACAATAGTTTGATGAAGTGTTGATGGTAACAGAACAAAGAACACCATAAATCAAGGTCCTTTCAAATAAAGTTATGGAAGCACTAGACAGGTTAGTTACAGCAAAGCAAGGGAAACTCTTCCATGAGCCTCAAACGCTACTGACAACAATCTTAGCCCATTGGTTGATTGGAAACTAGGACTGTTCCTAGATTCCAAAGGACTTACCTAATGGCCACAAAGATCTTAGGTCTGGTACTGAGGAGGAAAATAAATGGTTCTGAAATGGGATAAGGATGACCCTATTTGGCTTTGGACTTGTAACATTCCAACCTCTTCACATCATTCAAGTTCTAACTAGTTAATCAGCCACACAGAAGGTTCAGTGGAAGGTTGAGGTTCCTTTCAGAAGCTTTCCTTCACACTGTTTTTTTAAGTTTTGTTTTGAGATGTTATTTTTGTTTTATGTTTATGGATGATTTGCCTGCATGCGTGTTGTGTACAACATGCATCCAGTGTCCTAAGAGGCCAGAAGAGGGTATTGGAGCCTCTGGGACTGGAGGTAAAGACAATTGTGAGCAGCCATGTAGGTGTTAGATAATGAACAAGGGTCCTCCGGAAGAGCAGTGCTCTTAACCACTGAGCCATCTCTACAAGATCCCCAGTATGTTTACAGATCCTCTGCCTTTTATCTTAAAGAATTGCTACCCTTTACCAGTCTACTAGCTTTTAGAAAAAACATATTTTGTTTTCACAAAAAGGCTAAAATTTTTAAGCATTACTGTGAGAGCAGATTAAACTTACTAAAAAATTAAAAAATAAAAATAAATAATTTATAAAGGAGAGGGGCCATATTAGGAAGTAATAGTTTCCCTTTGCTGAGATAGAACCAGGAAATAATATCGTTCTAGAAGACTTATCAATCACCATTATTCACTTCCAAACTAACCCTTTATACTTGGTGCTCTCACTTGGATGGGACAGACTTCCTTTAACTTTTAGTATATTAGTAGTATATTACAAGGGCCCCGTAAACTGGAGACAGAGCGTCTCTACCCTTTAAGGAACTTCAACTGGAGAACAGAGAGCATTAAGCAGGAATTTCCCATCTATTGCAGCCTAAAGACTCCTTGGACCACTTCCCCCTTTAAGAATGGAAATTTCATTTCTATGAGGCATATGGTCTCCAATCCATTTTCTTAAATTAGGACTAGAATAAGAGTATCTCCTTTAGCCATTGTTGTGTCCTCCCTGGTTTGTTTTGAGAGAGGTGGCTGGTAGTAGGACAGCCAGACACTGATAACAGTATTGCTACTTCCAAATTGACTTTAAAAGTAACCTTTCTCTCACAAGCCTCAAGTGTTTTTGTTTTTAGTATACACACTTTTTCAGGAGAAAATGCTATCTTTTCATATGAAAATGAAGGTTATAGAAAGAAGATATTTCAACTACAATTATTATTTTGTTAACTTATTGAAGGGGGCTTTTAGTTTGCATTTTTCATTAGTCTTTGAAAAGAGAAATTTAGTCATAGTGTTGATTTTGGATGACTCTCCTCCACTCTTTCCAAATTTCCCAGGTGTGAAAATCTGAGAGGGTTTTAATGAACTAGTATCAGCCAAATATGTAATCTTAGAGCTAAAACCGTAAGGTGATGTATATATCAACCACATTTCTCTATGGGGATGTATAATATTCTAATGAGG